ATTTTAGGCCGGGAACTTTTCAATTGACCTGTTATATGTATAAGTACCTATATTATTAATATTTTTTATTGTATTTGTCCACTCTTAACCCTTCAACTCTCATTATTTACCTGCGAGTATTATTGCTGTGTAATGAAACTCGTTAAAATAATTAATTGTTTTAATTGAAGTGGGCGTATCAGCAAGTTCCATAAAATCGCCCGTTATTTTCTACTTACTAGGAAATATAGGTCAAGCGACAGACAGAGCTATGTACTTATTACGTACAATACATACTACTACTGTTCTTTGTGAGTAATAAAGATGCGACCTTTTTCCTTCATCTTCTTATTTTGCGGCCATATTAAAATATTCGAAACTTGCTTCCAAGCCTTTCGAAATGAGGTCATTCCAGGAAAACAAGTGCCGATCACGAGGACATGCGGACTGAATAAAAACCACCCCATTATTGTAAATTAGAACATGTTTCTATCGGCAATACGTTGGGAAAACATTTGGTTTTACTTAAAGCTCCATTACGGCACGCTGAATAAATATAAAAAGCTGTACAATGTAATTACGCGATGATGACACAACTATGTGTATCCACGTTTACTACATTTAACGAAACAAAGGCGTGAGTATGTTAATAGGATCAAAAATATTACGTACATAACCTAGTTGCTAATGTTCGCAAATATCCATTATCTGCTACCTACCTTTGGAATTAATTACTGTAGTGTAAGTAATTATTATTGGGTTTCAACCCAATTTAGAGGAAACCAATAATAGACTGGCCATCAATAGTCACATAAAGATTATTTAGAAAATAAGAATCTTTGGTAAATGGCGATTGTTGCTGGGACAGGGAGAAAAAGGGTGGGGGATGGAGGTGACCTTGTACACCAAAACATTTAAATAGTTTTAATTGGGGGGCAAGCACGCAAAGACACTTAGCACCTGTAAATTATAAATGGTAATTGTGGACGCGAATGGAGATAGAGATGACATTGAAGATCAGAACAGAGGGGTAAAGGCACGGGGGGGGGGGAATTGAAGAATCAAATCAAGATAAAAACTTTAGAAAATTATTTTAGAAGAAAAGGTTGGACCTGACGACCATGAGAACATTCACCTCGAAACAAAATTATTGGGTGTTTGGTTCCCCCCAACTACTAATTACTGACGGGCGGTTAGTCCTCTAGTCTCCTTTTAGGAGTAGTGGAATGGATGGATGGTTGGGGTGAGATAGGTGAGACGGACGAAATGAAGACAGAATAGAATGAAAGATTACTGTCCCAGCATTTGCTTAAATGATTCAAGGAAACCATAGAAAAAATTGGTTCAGAACAGACCGATGTCCTCCCAAAAGCTAAGTAATAGTCTAAACCTCTAGGCCATACCGCTCGGTCATTCACTTTGTTCGTAACGCCTTTTTATAACCGCAACCGAATGATCCTAAGCAATCAACTAAAACCATTTGTCAGTTAGTTTTCAGTTACGTTAGGTGAAGGATTTTAATTTACATCTTCAGAGGTCCTTCCATCTTCGATGTTGGAAGTGGACTGTCCTGAACGTCCGAAGAAACTCGCTACACATGTTAGCGAAATGTTAGAAAGCAATTCTAACCAATGAGAGCCTTTATATCTGAATCAGGACAGAATCAGTTCGACTACTGATCATGAAAGCCTTTATCAATTTATGAGTTACATGAGTTACGCTTACGCTGTAGGCAATGACTGTGGGTATACGTACATATAATATAGGCCAGAGCCGGGCAAACTTTAACTTCGTAGGAGCCGCTACCTGAGGTTAATTTGAGTAACTCCATGCCCTTCTATGAGTACGAGAGAGTAAGCAGTAATGAATAATATTGCTTTCTCTTTTTCTTCTCCTTTCCACTCCAATATCAAGCCGCCTCATTCCGTAGACGAGCGGAGCCACTCACGTAACTTAAATAATACCTACGAAAATTTTCGTTACTACGTTCGCAAAACCATTGAATTTGACTATGGAAGAGGGGACTCACCTACGAAATGGAAGGGATAAGAAAAAGAAAGAATCATCTCACTTGCACTCACAGGATCAATGAGGAGCTACTTGGTTATACTTGAGGAGCACTCGGGAGTCAAAAGAGCCGAGTTTGCCTGGCTTAGCTATAGGCCACTTTTTCTTCAATATAAAGAAATAAATTAGCAAATCCAGAATGATAAGTATGTGCATATATGTTTATCAATCAAATTATGACAAACAAAGACCTGGTCAACAAAGAGAATTATGGTCAAGAGGTTAATATTTTATATTTATTATTTAGGTGTTAAATTTTTCCTTTGAAGTGCTTTCACTGTACAGGCATGTACATATGCATAATGTACGTGTTATTACTTCCGCAATCACGTTTTTGAGCAGAGTCGCTGGTTCCGGAAGCGAGGATGAAGTCATCAACCTTCTTCAGCTTTAACATTAAGTACTTGTTCTACTATCGTTGATAAGAAAACCGTAAAAAAATATCCACATACATTTTTTCGACGCGTCATAAAAAGATGCAATGCATGTATGTATACAGGGTGTCCCATTCATAATAATTAAAAAAAAAACATGGATTCCTGACACAAAATACAACAAAAAAGTGTTATACAATTTTTCAGTCCAGTGACAATTGAGCTCGCAAATCGTCTTTGCAAATTTGAACGTACAATTTGGTTCATTACGGGTCTGAATCTAGGCGACTAACGTCGCTCAGCTGATCTAGTGTGAATGTAACAAGTACCCACCTGGAAGAAGCCGAATGCACTTCCACCTTCTAAAAAAAGTAAAAGTGAAAAAGAAAAGCGTACCTTTTATAAAAAATGCTGAAATTGTCCGCCATTCGCTTCAATGCAACACTGGCAGTGGCGTACCCACTTGCTGCGATTTTTTGCCCAGATATCGGGAATATTTCGAATTATATGATAGGAGTTGGTAATGTAACTCACCACCAACTGACGGTTGAATAAGAACCCTACTACAATGCACTATCACACTACTAATTGTCCTTATTGTAATAGTCTTTTATGAAATGACCACTAAATAAATAAACTAACACTAACAAACAAGTAAATTCCACAACAATCCAAAGCAAACTGAACAACCTGTTAGAAACTACGGCATTATGTGTATTTATTCCAGTCACTTCCAGCAGTGTAATTATATGAGGTTATATCAATATTTAGCTTTTACATTTAATGAAAACAAAATAACCAAAATTGGTCGTTCTGGACACATCCTTGTATTACTCCACGTGGGGTTAATGAGCCCTGCCAGGCAAAACTAACGTCAGAATGGGCAGTTTAACACATGTGAATGGTCAAAGTGGGTCTGCATCTTGTCTCAACTTTTACAACCATAACACATACATTTGTTTTCTTACACTAGTACGCTATGTTACAAACCTTTAGCAAACGCTAGGTGGTGAGGGTTGTTTGTGCACCGCTTCTAACTATTCCGTAGTCGTTAAAATTTCTTTTCTATTTAAAATAATATAATACTCGACGTCATGGGCTACGTTAGGTCCACTGGCAATCGTAATTAATTTGCGATTGTGCAGGGCCGCATCAAAACTGTTATAATGTTTTATTTTGTTTCAAAAGTCAAAAGTGTTATAACATTTTATGTTCCAAATGCCTGTAGGAAGCTGTGGTATAAATATTAATTATTATAACTGGGACACCCTATGTATGTATGTGGATAGCTTACGAGTGCAAAGTGTGAGAGATTTTGTAGTCGGTTGTTTGGTGTTTGGTTATTATCTNGATAATCATTATGCTTTTGTACTAATTAAAAATAATTATGCATTATATTTTTAATAATTTGTTCTTAACGTTTGCTTACCTGCATTGCTGGCATCACACGGTAAATAAACAGTTTCATTTTCCCGCGCTATAAAATCTTGACCTACGGTGTTTATCGTTGGTTCTGGTAAATCAGGACTATCTTCTCCTTCATCTTCGTCACCGTAATCATCATTATTATCATTTTGCATGTCCTTATCGTCTTCACCGAACTCGGGGTCGTAATCTTCGTTAGCACTAGGCGCAGAGTATGCTAAAACAGAAAAAAAACTCGGTAACATATTGTCCTCATCTCCCAATCATTATATCGACAATTGGGATCCGTCAAACGGGAGGAGCCTAAAAACATGGCGCCGATTAGGGAAAATTTACCGTAGTTCCTATAGTGTACCATGCAATTTCCAAGTTTTTAAATTACGATAAAATGATAAGTATTGACACAATATGTGATTGGGCTGACACAAAGCCTCGGAAAGGAAATTTCGTTGAAGGTGAGCGTGTTTTTAATGCCAATCACATTATAAAATTCGGAAATAACAAATCC